CAGCCTATCATCACACATTGACATTTTAACAATCTAAAGCTGGGTTAAACAATGTATGCTTGCTTACGAGTAAAACATTTTTTTACGTAGCTCATTATGTAAGTCCTCACCACAAATAAGGCTATTTAAATAGGGCCTCCGAAGAGTTCTGGCACGATGCCAATTACATTTCCAATGCCATGAATCCACAGTGGAGCGTAACCCCCTACGCAACGCCCCTGTGCTCCAACACGCACCGGGCACGTAACCCGCATTATGTCACGACTGCTAATTGGCTTGAAAGGTCACACGCACCACCCCCCCCCACCACCACCACCAGAAGAGCTAATCAGCACTCCTCAGCAGTGCTGCTTATGGGCAGGATGTGGCACGCACCCCAACCAGGCCAGACGCACTGCCAACGCAGGGATTCACGGTGGAGATAGATAGCCCCCCCCCCTCTCTCTCTCCTCTGCCCCCACCCCTGTCACTCCACCCCCCCCCCCCCCCCCCCACCGCTGCAACCCCTCCTTGCAGTTTTCACACGAGGTTAGTAGAGCGGTTCCATTCACAATTGGGACCAGCATCCACCGGTTCACACGCGCGTATCCACAAACGAATCAAGTTCATCCCCTGTCATTACCATCACCGCCGTCGTCAATTGTAAAAAAAAAAAACTTTCGCATCGAAAGGAATGTCTTGGTGCTAGTTTTGACATTTGATGGGCCCCAAAATAGCGGCATGTGCCTAAAGAGGGAAATATAATGGATATTGAAACCCCATGCTGTTCATTTAGTCTTACCTGTACTATGAATGCCATCACTAATTTCAAAGGTGTGCATAGCCAAGGCTAAATATAATCTCGATTCATAAAGCATCAATGTGTGGCTGCATACAACTCTTGTGGTCAGTAAAGAGTTTCTTTATCTTTGATTCCAATAGATAGTGACAACATTCAAACTCGTTTGTATATAATTACACTTGAATATAGAGAATTTTTAATTAACGATATTCTCACTGAATGACCACTTATTTTTACAGGTTTGAGAGGTAAAACGCATCAATGACATTTCACTAAAACACTTAGCTGCAATCTTTACAGGAAATTATTCTTACTTGTGGAATAACCAAATTTATATTTTAAAAAAATCCCACCTCAATAATCCCCCAAGCATTTTAATCGTCCAAACTTTGAAGGACTTAGATTTGTACACTTACATGTAAAGGAATTTTGGATAAACGTTTATGCCTTGAAAGTACGTATTACTACCCTAAAACCAGGCATTAGTGCTGTTCCAGAAATATGGCTTCCACGTTCCATTATAGATGCTAATGTATCATTGAGCGGGTTTAATTTATTCTGGCTTGATTATCCAACAAGCGGAAGGGGAGTGTTAATTTTATGTTGCATCAATGGAACAATTGTTTTATCTTGAAACCAAAACGATTGAATTATTATGATTAATGTGCAAATTATCACCTGAATCCCGTTTTGATCTCGCCGTTACTGTCAGCCTTCTACACCTGACTTTGCAGGTTTATTGGTCGGTAATATTCCAGCTCTCTGCATACTCTCAATTGATTGCTGTCAGAGACATGGGAATGGAATTGGCTTCAGTATCCAATGTCCGATGCATTAATTCTGACAAACTTGTTACCATCGACCAAATCGATAGCAGAATCCCCCTTGATCAATGTAAAAAAAAATATTTGTTCTACCCAGAGCTTAGGCCTCTTCTTGTAAAATGTCAACTGTGGGTATTTTGGGAAACAATTTGAATGATGACTATTTGGTGGCCTATATTCCAATCAGTACACACCTGAGCACTAATTTAAAAATAATAAGAGGCTCCATGAAATTGCTTGAACATATAAAGTTGAACCAGTGATGTACAAATTCAAATAACTACAAGCAATTGACAAATCAGTGTACGTTCAAATATGCAGATACATGGAAAATCTGTTCGTTTCAAATCTGCTGGCAAAGCAATTCCAAAATGCCAAGCAATTAGTTTTCAGATTTGAGAATATTGCTGTAACAGCCATTTCCATCGTTTGAATATTTCGGTAAGGTGTGCCCGGCTGTCTTCATTGCTCTCTGAAAAGTATTCGGTGAGGTGTATAATCTTAACCTCTAGATTACACAGCGTGCGGCATGAGTATTAAGGAACTGGACCGGTTTGCAAAATTATCGGCAGGGAAGAACATTGTCTTCAGAATGCAGTAATTTCTTCAGATTTCTTTTTTTCCGTTTCTAAAGGAATATGCCAAAGCCCAATGCTTGGGTCAACCACTGTCCTCTTTTGTACATAAATAACGCTGGCTCACATTTAATTACAGACATTCTAAAAAACACATGTTTATGCCATCTTAACTACGGTGCAATATTTGCAACTTATCTGAATAAAATTTTAAAAAATAATAATTTGCACTGGATTCTAGCAACGTTTTGCCCGTTTGAGGACATTCATTGAAAGTAATAAAGCAGCGTTTTTTATTTTATATATATCTTATGTATAATCACATTTTTTTAAAACACAATTTCCCGGAAATGTGCTCCACGAGACACATTGTTTTTGGTGCTATACATGTTTTTGCCCATACAGCGTTTGGGAGAACCACAGCATGCCAGATGGACGCTTGCAAATGAGAGCTATATAGATGTGTTTAGTATATCTTTATTTATGAATGTAACCCAATCTTAAATTGCTACCCTAGAAATGCGTGTAAAATGTAAAAAAAAAATTTACAGTATTTGATTTTGTTTTGATTCGTTTTTATTTGTAATTTTGTTTTCCAATATTACATTTTGTAATTACATTTAGATTATTTTTTGTGCTTTGGCCTATTTATATTGTTGACTCTATAGTTTTGTTAAATGGTATTTTTATTTGTTTTACATTGAACTTGGATTGTTTTATTTTATTGTGAGACCAGCATAATTCTAACACGGTGCGCATCACAGGAAGGAGTGTTTCACAATGCATATCTTATTTTAATTCAATACAATGGTTGTATGCTGTGCTATAATACAATTGCAGTGGTGCAATGGTGGCAGTGGTTGGTGCATTGTGCTGTAAACCCAGTGGCCTGGCTTGAAATATCGTGGAGAGGCTTTCATCCGGCGGTGGATTGACAAAGATCTGCAACATCATTTATTATCATTTTTATAATCTGATTTTAGGGTTAAACTAAATTAATGGGAATGTTTATGTTATTTTAACTTGCATTTTTTAATAGAGAGACGATAATTCAACATTCGCCTAATCAACGATTTTGTACGAGTATCAGCAAAAAAAATGGTTTCTGGGAAATGTCAAAGGATTCACAGCAGTTCAAAAAGAATGCCATTCTCTTTATTTGATAACCAGAAATAGGCATGAGCAAAGACTGACGCGCGCGTGGTTTCCAAAATGCCCCAGACATCACAGACACCCATTATCAAAAGACAGGTAGATTTTTTTTTGAGAAATGAAAACAGCCCGAGATTCATGCTGCCAATGGCTTTTTGTGTTGTTGTCAGAATTACAATGCAGTCAACCGGAATAACTTAAGTAAGTGTGCCTGATTTATCAAGCGATACACAATAAAAAAAAAAGCATTTACACAACAGAACGTCAACAAAATGTTGCATAGAATTTTCCAGCCGCATATTTAAAAACAATTTTACAAAAAGGAACCAAACATGAATCATGTTCACCAATATTATGAACATCATTAGCGTACTAATATAATACAAAAAATCCCTCACAATTTTGGCCAAACTCTTCGAAAGAATTTGTTTCAATCAAAGCAGCCCGTTCAGCACTCTAAAAAGCACTATGAAAATCAAGTACAGTTTCCCAATTTGGAACTCTTCCACCAGAGTCATGCTTCTCTCCCCCCCCAACCCCCACCCTGGACTGAGCTCACAATTCACTGCGCTGACTTCACAATGTCAGGAAACCCGACGGAGTGTGGGGGGACACTCGGACTCAAATTGGCGCAGCGTCATTCTGCACACGCTTACTCGACAACGGCAAACGTTTCGGGCCCCTCCGTCGGCGCCGTCGCACACAAAATACGCCGGGAAATGTTCGGCGGCCGCGTCAGCTCGGCTCGGCTCGGCTGGGCACGGGCGAAACTTGGCGGGGATGGTCACAATATTCAGAGTGCGGGTTGCCCAAGAAGATGATGACCCCCTCCCACCCCACCCCCCCCCACCCCCCCTGCTTGATGTGATTCCGTGTTTATGTGCCCATGGAAACAGCCTCTTAGCGACGTAAGCGTCTCTAAGCTGTGCACACAGATGTTTGGTAAAGCCAGGCTCGCATGGTTACCTCCGTCTATGGTTAGGGTTAAATCAAAGGATTTTACACGACATCCAGTGGATTTCCTCAACTTATTTTTGTCAATTTCCCCTCCCACCTCCTCCCCTCAATCCGAACAACTCCCAAGCTTAAATTAGGCTTGTGGTAGATATACGGTCCAGCGAAGCTTAAAAAATGTGTCAGGTATAGTGTTTGTCGCATGCTGCATTTGTGTTTTACGACTAAGATTTTTTTTTAATGTATGGGGTGATTGTGCATTGTAAGTTGTCTTTGGTGTTGATAGTCGTAGTCTGCTGGGCAATGCACTTGGTGGATTTTTCTTAGTGGAGCGTCGTGCCAAGAGCATCGCGCGTGCCTTTACGTATTCGCTGCGCGTTTGCGTGATGTGTGACCGGGTTATTAATTAATTGATATGCGAGTGCACTTCTGTGCTTCATGTGCCATGTGGTGACCAAACGGATGCTTTGCAGCTCCTGTTTTTTTTTTAAACAATTTTTTTTTAAAGAGTATAGTGTTGCTCCGATGCCAGCCAATTCATGCACACATTTGAATGATTACCTTCCTCCGAATGATCTAAGTAATGCGGTGTCTTGTTAGTCTTTTAAACTTACACACAGTGGTGAGCGCTTGATCACAACCAGATTCCGTCGCTAAAACGATGAACGATTTTTTTTTAATGCGGTGCTGTTTCCCGACCCCTTTTTTTTTGGCTTACTGTACATTTGGTTTTAAAAAATAGAGAATGCGTTATCAAGAACAGCATATATATTACTGAGCACTATCATACGTGAATTCAGAGATAATTCCTCATTGTACAACAACAAAACAATTAAGTAGTTTATAACACCAACAATATGGCTCTCAATTATAACCTGATAGTGCTTTGTAAGTTACTCCAGTACACAATAATTTAAGTAGCAACGACACAAATTACCTCCCCTCCTCAACAAAAAACATTATTAATTCGCTAAAATAAAAAACAGCAAAGCAATCACAGCACGGAAAAATGCCCTCTTATCATGTCCTTTACAAAAATGTACCCAAGCATCAAAGGCAAACACCTTGAGGGTGTCTTTGACATCCATTGTAAGTGCATATTGATAGTGTTGTTTGTTGGTAACAGTCCGCATAATGATCGAGTCTGCAACATGGCTAATATGGTGTCAAATCAATGGTGTAAGGGCACAAACACAACAGGCGTTGTTATTGCACCTCCTCATTAAATGTCAACGTGTGACGGTTAATCCGACGGATGGCGTGTACACGCAATGCATGACATTTAAGGCACCACTCTCGGATGTAACCAGGAGGAGATAATTTCGTTTCGTCTGGAAAGCCAGACAGGAGGATGTTAAAAACCCAATTATACCACGCATTTCGCGGACACGTTACGGGTGCCATTGGGACAGATAACGTGACAATGGAAAAAAAAGATTCCCCCTGATGAAACAAGATTATTTCACCGTTTCTATGAATGGCTCTGTGTTTTTTTGAAAGCTTTCCTTACTCACGATCTACTTTGAAAACATAACAGAGTATCGACGCCGCCCTAAACTTGCCAACATTGCACCGGCAAGGAAGCGTGAAATACGGAACACATAAAACCCCGAGACCTTTCCCTTTAATGTGTTTCCGTTCTATTTGCTTTCTGTCCGCTTGAAGCAAAGGTGCAATCCATGGATTTTTATCGTTGTGGTTTGTGCCTCCCATTCTCCGTCTTCCGACATTGCATTTGCGAGCGCAATGGAAGGGCCAGCAGCCACCCAGCTCTTTAACGGTGCTGCCCGTGCAGCGCTGCACATTTTTAATCAAAGCCAGAGACATTTGTCTGGACTCTGTTCATTTTCCAAGGTGTCAAATGTTTTCAAATTGATTCGCTAAAAAATTACTACCACGAGTGAAGCATGTGGCCTTTCTTCAGGTGACTGCATAAGAATAAGACATTGAAAGTATTAAAGTGTCCTTATTTATCTTTTATCTCCCCCCCCCCCCCCCCATTTTAGATCAAGCAGGGATATTGTTGAAGGGTGCAACAGATATCCAAGCGAGACGAAAGATAATGAAAAACGGAGGGCAGTTCTTAGAAATGTATTGAGCGCGCCAAAGCACACAACTTTCTCATCGTTCCTGGGACGATTATATCCCAACTTTAATAAAATCTTTGTTTCCGATTTCGGAGCCCACACGTCGATGGGCAAAACAGTTTCATAGCACAGTCTAAAAGACTGTTTAAAAATCATAGAAATTCAACACTTATTTCACAAGAATGCGCACAGTGCATGGATCAACTAGAAGCAAGTAATCACACTTGGTGTCTGTTTTACCAAATGCCCACTCGGAAAATAGGACCCTCCGATCTGTGTTTCGTTTAATCACCGAGGAGAACCAATGTGTTCTTGCTGGGAGTCGGCAGCGCTGTGGCGGCGGCTGTGGCGGTCATCGTTGGCATCGGAGTGCAAAGTCTGAGGAGTCCAAGGGAGGTGGATGCGAGACTCAGATATGTCTCTTCATGTGCAGAGCCAGGTGGTCAGACCTTGAGAAGCTCCTGAAAATAGCCGCACACAACATCGGCAATCAGGTGGCGTGAAAAACAGAAGGATTACAGTAGAGCATGCGTCAGTGTTGACGCCAGGTATCGAGCTGTTGTTACTGCAGTGATCCTGTACATAAAAATCACAGGTTCATTCCTTATGCATGTATGTTGAACTTCTTTCGCACCGAAATGTCGCCATCCGTGGTAATCGGAGGTGCGGGCAAGGTATGGGCATGTATGGACATTAGTCGTACCCTTGCAAGGTTAATGTGCATTAATGGTTACGTAAGTTACGTCTATTTTGTTTAATCAGGTGAGACCTCAAGAGACCAGGATAGTTTAATTTACAAGAGTAACTTGGGGCACTCGTCTGCCAGTAGGAGTAATTTATTGGTTTTACATAATCCCAAGTGAGTAAGTTTAGATTTAAAGCTTTCGTGACTGCAGGGATTCATATTCTTGGTTCTTTCGGTAAAGTCACCACGTAGAAGGGAAACAAAAGAAAAAAAAATCTAAAACAATAAAACAATATTTTTATTATTTTATTGTTTCCCTTCTACGTGACTTTACCGAAAGAACCAAGAATATGAAACCCAAGTGAGTAAGTTGCCAATTTGGCAAATAGTCTGCATGTGTCATAGACATGCATTAAGTCATCTACTGTTATATATGCACGCATGGTTTGATGAACTGTGCGTACACAATTGTCATACTCTCTACATTTCTCAATTGGAATATACACGGTCATCATCCCCGCCCTACTGGGAAAACCAACTTTGTAGGACCCTTCTCAAAATACTGATGAGACTCACTGAGGCTTAGCTGGGCAAACAAGTCTAACAACAAACTTGCACACGGTGGAGAATCGCGCAGTAAAATTAACCGTTGGCTTTCTACATAGGCACATTCATAATACCTCCCTACCACCATCATCATCACATACACTGCAGCAGAATCCGCGGCTCTCAGATCGGCCTTTTCAGCCATTTGAAGATCCATAAGCAGGAGCCACCAGGAGGGACAATCATTACTCGACCCCGAGTGATCGTCGATGATGATGATGACATACCTACATGTATCTTTTGCGGTCCACATTAAAAAATCCCACGCACATTCAACTGTTCACACTCAGTGAATTGCATTCCAAAAAAAAGGATTCTCAACCACCCTGACCAAACCCCGAAACCTATTCCGGTTTCGGTAAAACTCCTCTTTGCTGAATCCCTGTTGTCCACACACCTCCTATTATTTGCACAGTGCGATACATTCTACCGAAAAATGAGGATTTCTCCACAATTCTGGCTCTCTCCGGATGAGGTTGGTTCTAATTACTGGCGAAACGTCGTACTCGAATTGTAAATGTTGCGGGTTTACTTTCCAACACACGAGTAACGAATTGGCATGTTCTGTTTAAGTGACAAACCTAACTCAATGTCTGTGTCAGGTGGTGGTGGGTTTAATGACACATTGATATTTACGTAATTTAACCCAAAAAAACATATCGATAATATTAGCCGTGAAAGCCTACTTGTTAAACTGAAAATGTTCCTGTAATAAGTTACTCAGAAGTGTCAGCAAAAACCTTCATGGAAGTTGATCATTCTTCCTAATATCCAAGCCATCATGCAGATAAGAGAAGTAACCGGATAATGGTGGCCAATTCATCCAAAAATGTTTGTTTATTCACTCATTCAATCCCAGTTAAGAGCAAAATCTGCAGGTAAGCACGCAATCACCCCCCCCCCCCCCCATGTCAAGCAAGAAGTATACAATGGCGTTTCTCTACACTACAATCTTTACATATATATAGCATCTATGTGCCTATATAACATTTCGATTTTTATGGAAGGTAATTTTTTTTTAATATATATAGGGAATGACATTAAAGTGCTCGTTATTGCGATGTGAGAAACTGCTCATTTTTGTAGCGTTAAACGATCAAAAGACATTGCTTCTAGAAAAAAAAAAGAGTTGAACGCAAAGAAGGCATTGAGCCTGGCTCATAGTGAACAAGTGCATTAGCTTCATGGATACACGGCACAGTCAGACACCCGGCCTACGTCTCCCCCTGTTACATCGTTTTGCAACTACGTCGTCACTTTATTATTAACACCGCTACCTGATATGCGTTGCCTCAACCCCCCACACTTACGTCGCTGACAGCATCATCGTCCGTCCTGTCTCGTTATCCGTCGCCTCTCAGTCTTCGCCTCTGCCTACGACCCTGTAAAGCGCTTTTGATTGACGTCGTTTCGATATTCGTCGTCGCACCTTTCAGGAACGCATCCCCGATGTAAACTAGGGGTATTACTGTATATATATGCATCGTACTTTTGTATTTCCTCGCATTTTCTATTTCCTACGCCATTTTGAAAGTCCTCGCTCTAAGATTCTGATCATGCCGTCTGGAATTCCCTTCCTCCCTACTTTCTTGCAGCTAAACTAAAACTAAAAATAAATCTTGACTTAAAGTTTGCGTGACTGCAGGAATTCATACTCTTTGAGTCTTTCGGTAAAGTCACGTAGATAGAAAAAAAATCACGACGTTTTGGTCGCAACACAAGAAATCGTCTTCAGGTGAAAAAAATATTTATTTTTATTTTACCAGCTATGACGCTCTTTTTCAGAAGCTACCTGGCCACAAGTCATAACTCAATGAAGTGGCTTATCATGTGGAAATTTATAGCAGCCATATACTCTAAACGCATGTTTCTAAATGTGGAGGTAAAACCCGGGGGACCCGGAGAAAAATCCACGTGACCACGGGGAGAGAGAGCCACGCAAACTTCAAATATACAGCAGGCGTCGTTGGGGTCGGGATGGAGCCCTAACCCTCCTGCATACCAGGCGAGGTAGTTAACATCTCACCACCACGGCGCCCCAGCTGAGACTTACTTTGCTGGCCTTGTTCAAGTCAAGACTAAAGATCCCATTTGTTGTCATGTGCATGGGGCTAAATGTCTTTGCCCCTATGAAGCATCTGCGGTTGCATTTAGATGCTATATAAACGTAAATTGTATCGTATATTGGCTCGTAATTAACGCATTTATAAAGCCTACTGTATTTTGACGCTATGTATAGGTTATATTTGGAATCTATGGTATGGCTGAGGGTTTTGTGGTTTGGTAAGTGGTAATTAAGGTGCAGAGTTTAATTGAATCACTGGGGCAGGTTACGATCTTTATCTTCCGGATTGTGATGCAAGCTACATGGTTCTTCATACTCCTCTAAATACTATCAATGTTGTAACACGTAGGCTTTCGGGACCAATATTAGTATGATCAATGTTGTACATTCTGACTTCTGAACATTTACATTTTACCAACATCACACATTTTTTCATCACATATTTGCATATTGATGCACATTTAAAACGTATTAAACAATGGAACACATTTAATGTAGATATATAATCATGGGACGGACTCAAACCTGCAATGCACCACATTTGCCCACTGTAATCAACACAAATCATATTGAATGGAAGTTATACATTTTAAGTGCCTGATATATTATGACAAATGTGAGTGTGTGTTGTTTAAATGTAATTTTTGCAATGTCTTCATCGCTTCATCATTAGCGCTGCTGGCTATTCATCTTTTTGATTATGACTAAATGGTAGCTAAGAGAGCACACAGAAGCGCAGCGACGATCGTGGTGTCTTGGCACATGGCAGTGGAGCCAGAGACTGAGAGAATACCATCGCACAGATCCAACACGTTGCACTGCGTAGCGGGTACTGCGGTTTGTGTGTTTGTCCGTTTTTCTACCACATGAAAACCATCCAATCATGGCACTGGTCAAACACACTAATGTCGGAGTCTCCTGAGTGAGCTTCTCCTTGGAAGATTACTATTCTCTTGCGTGGCGCTGCCAATGTCATATGAAAAAGGAGGAACGGCGATTGGTTTTGGATATTCCTTTAGAAAAAAAAAATGTCCCGACCGAGTAATCTCAGAACAAAGTGAAAAAGGGAATGATTTATTTCGTAAAGTGAATTAAAGTTTGATTTGCATAATTATTTTTGCAGTAGATTTGAATTTTGATTTCGGGCAATTACCTAACTATTATAATGTAAATGAAATACATTATCGCAGTAAATTATTGAAACATTACACGGTTATCCAAAATAAATAAAAATCTGTCATACTACTATGCTTTGATGGAGGAATATTCGGCCATAAAATAATTAAAACGATGTAATACTGTATTCAAATATATGTAAAGCCCGAATAAAGCAGGATATTTAATATGAAACCGTGGTGAATGCCAATAAGTTATCAGAATCCAATTGAGTCTTTTTCACTGATGTCCAGTAAGGGGCTGGTCAGCGAATTACAGCAACAACAACAATAAAAAATACAAAAACAACTTGAGTACAAAATAGAGAAAAGGTAAGCAAGTCACGAAATACAAAATCAACATAAATAAATGAAGTATATAACTACTAATTGCAAAAGAACATACATTCCAATATCGTGACGAATATACGACCACTTGGATCCAACTTGGATAAGATTAAGCAGATATTTCCAATTGTGTTGTATGTAGTTATATAATTATATTCTTAGGTTTTACAATTACAGCTTTGCGATTCAGCACTTGCAAATGTCTGTCTGGGTGTTTGGCTTATCATGCCAAGTAAAGATTTGCTATCTGGAGTTTCTCCTAAATAAATAAATCGACCTTCGATGATTGAGGCAGCCTGTGGGCAAATCCCATTGGTTGCTACGCCATGGTGGCTAGGAGATGTTAACTACCTCGCCTTGTATACAGGAGGTTGTGGGTTCGATCCCGACCCTGAAGCCTCTATATTTGGAGTTTCCATGTTCTCCCCGTGGTCGCGTGGATTTTTTCTCTGGATCCTTGGGGTTTTCCTTCCACATTTAGAAACATGCGTTTAGAGTATTTAGATGTGATACATTTCTACATAATAAGCCACTTCGTTGAGCTATCATTTGTGATAGCCAGGTCGCTTCTGAAAAAGAGCTGTATAGCTCAGTGGGCCTCAC